AATCATGATACGCAACAATCCGGATCGGAACATCACGTGACTGCCCCCTCGATTGTTGGTTATGCTGGTGCTTTTTAATGGAAATCGTAGAAAGAGATAGCTCAAGCACCGATCGCAATCTTTATTTCAATTGATCGTAGCATTTGAGCATCATCTCGATCATCAGCTAATTACATTGAGGAAGGCACTTGAGAACGGCCTTAGTCTAGTATATTAGTGGCGCAACCAAAATTTGATAAAATATTCAAAACCGCCCATTTTTTTTTGATCTTGAAATGAAAGTTGTAATAAAAAAATTTTTAAAGTTTGAGTTTCCATGTAACAAAAATTAGTGAAAACCAATTATTTAAATCTGTGGGCTAACATATATTTTTTATTAACTTGATTTCATTAAGCATACAAATAAGGCAAAACTAAAACATTTTCAATATCAAATATTTATGACGAGCATAAATATATTAATTATATCTCTGCTAAATCAAGTCACATTGAAACCAATTATGAGCTAAAACCTCATTACAATTATTAAATCTCTGTTGTTCCAAATAGTCACAAAGTTCTTGTGCATTTGGAGAAAAAGTAAACGACAATTGATCAAATAATTTATCAACCAAAAACAAATCACACTTATAGTCATACTTATTATATGCACTTTCTGGCCAATGATCAAGATGGAATTCAGGTTTTTGTCCGTTTCGCCCTACGTGCTCATAATCAGACAGTAACCAATTACCATTACTAATTAATACATTGTCCCAACGTATATCTCGGTGCACCAGATCTAATGATATTAAAATTGAAATTCAGAAGATTACGCAAAAAATACAAATTATTCAATATTTTTCTGGAGCATAATTAAAATTCAGATGTTACCCTTTTCGTGGAGAAGATTCAATACGTTGAGTATTGCTAAAATAGCATCTCGTAATTCCCTTTCATTATGTGGTAAACGTTTATGGCAGACTGGTGTTAGCTGAACAGAATAAGTTTGATTAAAATCTCCACTGAAATTACGTTTTCTACTAGCTTTCAATTGTGGCTCTCTTTTAGCCAATACTGCATATTTAGATTTTGATATTGCCGCATAGGCTTCTTTCAAAGTTTCAAAATCGCTATAGCTAAATGAATTCAAAAAATTTTACTATATATTTAAAACAAGGGTTTATTTATATGTACCCTAAGGTACATGTACCCGCATCATATGACCTATATAGATCGCCATAAAATTAAACAT